GCAATACCAATTGATGTCTCTCTAATGCAAAACTTACTGAGCTTTTTTTTCTTTCCTTTCTTTTTTAACTAGGATATATTAGTTGTACAGAATGGTTTCATCATGATATTTCCAAACATACCATATACACGTATTAAATTCATCTCCTCTATCATTCCTCCTTATTCCTTCTTCCCCTTCTTAAAACAATTTCAACAGGTTTCCTTCAAAACATGCTGTTTTTAAAAGGCATTACAGAAATGCTATTTATTATTAGGTCATTTTAAAGGCATCAGTTATTCTAATGCCTTTATTCAAAAAGATGTACTACAAAGATTATTAATAGTGAGAATCTTCACTAGCATGAATAAAATTATTTTTGTTTTTTGCCTTGTCTCATTAAACTCTCCTTCAAAGACTAGAAAGAGGCACGTTCCCCAGATGCTTCCACTCCCTCAGGACCATGCTTAGCTTTAGCGACATGGTCTGTTCAGGGTCATATCCAGTGTCATACCACCCCTACTTGCAAGTCATGTCCCTAAGAGTGTAAGATTTCCATCTACCAGTCCCATATCATGACCCATATGAAAGGCTTCAGATTTGATGTAGTTCATTGGGACCTTATCTTTTGCTGCTTCTATCAACTCAGAATTAAAGGAAACTATAATCTTTTCTCTAACCAAGATTGAAAAGAAAAAAAGGAAAGTTAGTCTCCAGAAACTTAGTGAGGTATCGCTAAAACTGCATTCTTCAAAGCCATCATAGTCTTTCTACATTATATCCATCAATTTTCACTGGTTCCTCCCCTTCCCTCTCCTCTGTGAACTACTTGACACTACTGCTCTCACCCTCTCCAACTTGTGAGAACCTCTTTCTCCTTGGTTCTAGATTCTCTGCTGGTTCTTCTCTTCTCTCTATTAGCTACTTTTTTTCCTTTGGTGATGCTAAGGTTTGAATTCAGGTTTCACGCTCTTGCAAGGCAGGTGCTCTAATCACTTGAGACACATCTTCAGCCCATGGTTTTTCTTCCCTCAAATCTCTAAATGTAAGCATTCCTCAGTGAATCTCACATTTCTTCTCCCCATAAACATTCTCACTATTGAGAATTTTGTCCATGCCTGTGGCTTCAATGATCATATCTTGAAGAGCCAATCTCAAATCTGCATATCTAACCTTGACTGGATCACTAACAATTAACTCAATATTTTTCATAGCTTCTACTGACTTTACTCATTGGCACCTCAACTCAACATGCCAAACAGTGAACTCACTATCTCCCCTTCCACACCAACTCCTCTGATTGTCCTATTTCTGCTGATGGCACCACTTTTCACTTTGTAGCTAGCTTGAAATGTTAAAGTAATTTTTGATTTTTCACTTTTTATGTCTAAATCTGTTCCTGGACCCTTTTAACTCTAATTTCCAATGTTCTTGGCTTCCATCTTATCTTCTCTCTTTCCCTAATTAACAATCATCCAATACGTACTCTTTTCAGCCCCAGTCTCTTCCACTTCTACCTGATTTTGACATCACAGTCTGAAGTCCTCATTTCACTCCTCATAACCCTTCAATGACTCTCTTGCTTGTCAAATGAAACTCAACACCTTAAACTTCAACTCATGGTTGGCCAAACTCAAGCAATCTTTCTAAACTTATCTCCCAGTATTCCATGTACTCTGCACTTGGATCCAAACCCTACATACTGTGCTCTAGACTTCTGCATCTACTCACACTCCTCCTACCTACTTTCTCCTGTCTCTACTTCTCAGATGCTTCCCATTCTTGTGAGATAGCTGAATTACTATTTTCTAATCCACTGAATCAAATAAAATCTCTTCTTCCTATGAAGCACCACATTTTATTTGTATCTTTTATGATTCCCATTACCATCATTGGAATATGTTTATTTTCCCTTTGAATTCAGAGTTACTTTATTCATGAGTATATGGCCCAAAGTTTCTAGCACCTTAGTAGCAATGCTACAATAGTACTTGGTGATTAAATAGATGATTAGGAATTAAATTTGATTCACAAAATTTTGTAGCATTTATGCATTATTAATTATTCAAACATTTAATTGCATGTAATATGGAAAGCTTATATTCATATGGAAAGGGAGAAAGCCCTAAGAATGAATATTAAGTAATTAAAAATTGCTATTTCCAATTCCAAATAAAAATTTAATAGCATTTAGGAAGTTGGCATATTTAGTAAAAATGGTTTGAACCAGTGATACTTTCAATTTCTTTCCATTAATTCTCCTTACATTACTTTCTTTTTAACTAATTTATCTTATGTAAATTTATGTAATTTTTTATTAATTAAGTTAATAGGAATAGTACCTTATAAAGCCTTAACTCTCATTTCCTTAGAAAATTACATGTCTTTAACAGAACTCAAAAAAATGCATCCGAGGTATCCTGGAAAGCTACTCTGTAAAACTTTCTCCAAATATTTCTTTATTATTATTATTATTGTTGTTGTGCTGGGTGGAGGTACACTGTAGCATTTACAAAGGTTCTTACAATGTATCAAATATATCATACTTGAATTCTTGATTATCTGTCGGAGTCATGATGTTGAGAGAAGGGATTTCTAAGTAGTGCTATTAGATAGCAGTTAGTCTTGCCTGGTATTGATTGTTTATGTTTGCTTTAGATTGTGGTGGGTTGTGAAGCCACTTCTTGTGGTGACCTTCATTCTGTGATGTTGGAATACACTAAAGATGCAAGGTTAGTGAAATAATATTGTGCATTTTTTCCAAACTTAAATACATAATTCAGTTGTCTATTTTTAAGACAACTCCTTCCAGACAAGAAAACTTATGTATCAAAAAGTGGCAGTTCATGTATCCTTTCATACACATTTTATTTGCATAAACTTAGACATATGTCTTCAAGTTTTTCCTTCAGATCAGGAAAAATCAATTTTCATACTAAGCAACTCCTAAGAAACTTTGTATTTTCAAATGTAGAAGACACTAAATTTATCCTAAGAATAGAACTTTTTTTCTCTCCTTTTTACATTTACTTACATGTGTATACATTGTTTGTGCCACCTCCTCCTGCCCCCCACTTCGGGTAGAACTATTTTTTTAATTTGCTCAATTTCAACCAACCTTAAGAAAAAAATTTAATCAATGAGTCATCTGAATATGTTTTGATCAGAGTCGTTTCTCATAAAGCATGTTAGCAGTACTGAATACAAGTCTGACACAGTACCTTTGCCTTTGCAGTAGCTCTGTCTTCTACCATCACATTCAAAAATTAATTATATTGACTTAAATTTGGGTAAACAACTTTTTCCTGTCTACCCAAACTTGTCAATGTTTTGCTTTTAATTATCTTTCAGATAGGGTCTCACTTTTGCCTAGACTGGCCTCGAACCACAGTCCTCCCAATTACCCCCTCCCAAGTAGCTGAGATTACTTATGTGAGCCACCTTGCCTGCCTTCAGTGTGCTTTTAAAGAATCAGAATATATCTCATAAGAAATTATTTTTGATTGTTCTTTTTATGATCTATAAAACAGGAAACTCACATGAAAACAATTTAACCCCACCCAAAAGAAATTACCTTGATAATAGATTAGTCATATATTTCTCTTGTTTTGTCTAATGCAATTCTTTTGGTTTCTGTAGGTCTGATTCCTGGCAACTTGTTCAGACCCAGTGCCTTCCTTCCTCCTCAAACAGCATTGGCTGCTCCCCTTTCCAGTTTCATGAAGCCACCATCTACAATGCTGTCAACAGCTCAAGCTGGAAGAGGATCACTATCCAGCTTCCTGACCATGTCTCCTCCAGGTGGGTTGCATGTGAAGGTATCCTTAGTGGAACTGTCCGGAAATCTATACAGACTCTCAAAATGCTGAGAACAACTAATAATGAGAGGTCAGAATTTTAGTTGCAGCCCTAGGACCTTCTCTTTTCTCTCCCCCTTCTTACCAACCCAAGCCCACAAATGGAATTGTGTGTTCCCAAAAATAAGATGACAAAGAAGAAGAAATAGGAGCTTATTTGTAAATGATTCATAGATCTCAGATTTTTCTTTAAACTACATCCATGCACGTGTCAAACTTACTCTTAGTCCTGAATGACAGACCCCAAACAGTTCTTCTCTGTGTTCTTCTCTCCAAAAAGCTGGATTCTCTTACAGATACAAACACCCCTGGCAATGCAAGACAGCCAGGTTGCACAGAGTTGAGGAAAAACAGGATGGTGTACAATCTTCTGAGAGCAGCATCCAGTTTACTCAAACATTTGGAAAAATGATATACCTCAGTAAGAAAAATGGACACAAAATTACTATAGCATAGAACAGGAAGTTCATGTAAAATTTTCAAGGGAACTACAAATGTCCAGAAAAGGCATTTGTATACATGCTTCTCAAGTCTGATGGATATGAGTTCACTCACCTCTGCTTTTGAGGGGCCTTAGGGAGAAATTGGGGAAGCCTTTTTCTCAGGTCTCCAATCCCAGAGGCAAAGGCTGGACATGGCCAGGGGGAATAACAGCCTTCTGACTCTTCTGTTCTCTGTGGGTCTTACAGTGCAACTCAGTTCCGCTGGATCCAGAAGGGAGAAGAAACTGAGAAGCAAAGCTGGGCCATCGACCATGTGTACATCGGAGAGGCTTGCCCCAAGCTTTGCAGTGGGCACGGGTACTGCACCACTGGTGCCGTCTGCATCTGTGATGAAAGTTTCCAAGGTCTGAATGAGGGCTGTCATTAAGACAGTACACCATGGGGGCTCCTCATCAATAGATGGACTCCAGGCTGAAGGGCTTGAGATGCATAACACACTCCTTGGCCACAGTTATTTATCTTTGGAATGAATTATCAAGCATAGTTTTGTGCTGTGTTCCTGAAAGTATTTTTTCAAAATATAGTCTGAAGTCCACTTAGTATATTTTATCAATAAAAATGTATATTTATAAGTAAATAGGAATCCAAACAAATCCACCTGGGGTATTCTATTGTACCTCACATTCTCTATCTTTCATATAACTCACTGCCCCACACTTAACTTCCACCTCTGGGCCTCTCCTCTCCTGGCCTTGCTCCTCATCTCTAAATGCTTTGCCAACATCTATTTACCAGTACCTATTTGCCTCTATCCATCCTTCCTCAGCCTCTGTCCTCCCAAAATACAGCCAATGACCCAAGATGTTCAGATTGTTTGTAACTCAGAAAAACCTTTATCACTCAAAAAGTTACATTTCTACTGTTTGGGGCTTCTAGAGGCCAAGTATGCATCAGGAACAGTGTCTACTGAGCCCTTCACATCGTGCTTATCAGCCTGCTGGAATCCTACAGCCGTGCTTTCCTTTGAGCTAATGTTTCTAACAGGTTTCAGCCTCTGTAATTACCAAGTTCACTTTGCATAATCGCCATTCTACCCTCATGGCCTAATTCTTAGCATATATCAAAACTAAGTAATCTTCTTTGAATGAATCTTTACACTGCCATATACTGTATTATTTATATGGTATATACCAATTCATTCCTCAGGGTCACTTAGTATTAATGATCACCAGAAGTTATCTGTAGTTAAGATAATTATTCCTACTTTTAGGTAAAGAAACTGAAACCCAGGGAAGTTAAATGACTTGCCAAAGATAACACAGCTAGTAAAAGAAAGAAGATTGTTACTCTGATTTTTTTTTTTTTTTTTGCAAAATGGGATTTAAACTCAGGGCCTTGCACTTACTAGACAGTGCTCTACACTTGAGCCCCAAGCCATTTTTGCTTTAGTTATCTTGTGTTTATGCCTGGGCTACCCTGGACCTCAACCCTCCTTCTAGCATAGCTGGGTGACAGGCATACACCACCATACTCAGCTTTTGTTGGTTGAAAAGGTGTCTCACAAACATTTTTTTGCCAGCTAGCCTTGGATTTCTAGGCAAGCCCCCTGGCTCAGGTTGTTTTTCCTAATCAACCTTGCTAGTTCTCATAGCTGAGAAATTTATCTAAAGGGGATCAAAATTACACAACTTTCCGCAAGCATACAGTGTTAAAATCCACGTATTTTAATTCTGCAGTAGCAACTGTTTAGATTTCTTAGCATATGGTATATCCTTGCCTCCAGATTAAATGGATGTAATTAATGTAGACTGCTATACATCACTGATGTTAGAAGTTTCTTAGCCATCTCCTTTCTTCCCTGTTATCACTGCCGCTGAAACCAGCTGGGTCTGTCTGTGCATTAGCTAAAGAATTTTAACTGTAGGCAAATGAATGAATTGAAAGTCTCATGAGAAAGCCTAGATGTCTGGAATTTGCCTACTCCCCTGATCCAGCAGAAGTATGGCCTTTTGATTTTGAACTATTGTGGACATTAAGAAAAGATGAACTATTCAGAAGGAGAAATGCAAGACATACACATTTGCTAATATAGTGTCTTACTTAAATGCCAGCATTTCAGCTCAGTGGTCTCTAGGAGATACATCCAGTTTACTCATTACTTGTTTATTCATCCCAGCCTCGTTACTGAATATCTTAAATGTGCTAAGTATTGTGCTAGAGGCTGGAATCCAACAATAAATTTAGATACAGGCTCTGCTCTCAGGAATCATCATGTATAGAAGCTGAAGGAGAACAAGAACATGACTTATCTTATTTCTACAAAATCATGCTGGGAAAAAAGAAATTTGACTGACTTCTCATGCCAGGGTGAGAACTCCCCACTGAAACACTTCACTGTAAACATGCAAGGCCTGGCCAGATACTGAGGTATTTAAATAATGGATTTACACAAGCAATAAGTGCATTAGCACGTACCTATTTTAATGAACATTGGTTCAAAAGTATGGGCCAATAATTTGGGCAACAGTTGCCCAAACAAAAGAGAAACATTTATTTCTGGGAGTCTATATCTGCATGGTATTTTTGCCATTCTTCAGTAACAACAACGACTCAAATCTAAAATTGGATTCTTGTTTTTAATCTTTGATGATTATGCTTATTCCAGCTGATTCTGATTTCTGTGATTATTCCTTTCCCCCAGGTGATGATTGCTCTGTTTTCAGTCATGATCTTCCTAGTTACATTAAAGATAATTTTGAGTCAGCAAGAGTCACTGAGGCAAACTGGGAGACCATTCAAGGTGGCGTGATAGGCAGTGGCTGTGGGCAGCTGGCACCCTATGCCCATGGAGACTCACTCTATTTTAATGGCTGTCAGATAAGGCAAGCTGCTACAAAACCTCTGGATCTCACTCGAGCAAGGTAACCAAACCCCTGTGTTGTATTCCAGACACAGAATTGGTAATAAGTCCAGTTATTGTCCACTCTTTCTTAGATCTGATCACAAATTTCATGCAGCAGTTGTCACTAAGCAATAGAAACCTAAATATCATATGAATTTGGTGCAAAGAAGCACTTATATGTTTTCAAAACTCAAAATTATCCTTGCTTAAACTTATTTTAGGATTGCTTTACATTTCTTCACATACACTGGCCAAGTGGTAATGACACAGATATAAACTGGGGAAGTATCCAAATACAATAAAATTGGCTAGGGATAATCCATACAGACAACTTAATGTTTATCACAGGCAAGTATTTAAATATAAATATGTATATGAAGATTTGTAGAAAAGCAAGCACACACCTATATTTAGCATAGAAATAGAGGACAGATGGAGACAGTCTTTAATAATTCACATACTATAGGAGATAGAGGTTAATGTAGAATGGATTGGACAGAGATGATGTAAATGGACTGGGAAGTGACAGAGAAGAAGAGATCTTACAAAGGTTGAATTTTCTTCTCCACCTGCACTTCTCAGCTATTCTATCCTGGCCAGTGCAAACACAAGGGTTTTTTGCCTGTATAATTCTAGAAAAGATTCCAAGGCTTTAAAAAGATTACAAACCACTATTCACCAAATGTTGACAAACGTTCAGGAGCTATGAGGATATTTGAGAACTAGGTGTTTAGTTATGGAAATATAGATGTTAACTTGAAGCCTTTTACTTTGAAAAATATCACAATGTATTTTCAGAGGTAGGAAGGCAGGTTTGGAAGCCCTTAATATGATAAAACAATGAAAATGTTATAAAATTAATTCCTTTTTGTTACTACCATGGAGATGCTAAAAGTTGTGCCTACCGGTTCTCATTTTTTTTTTTTACCAAAAAGATATCATCATTCTAGAAACAACCTAATATCTTCCTTGACCTCCTATACAGCCAGAACTAGGTATTTGGTTAACAGTTGCATACCGTATTGTACAAATAACTTCATTTTAAATTAATTTGTGCATACATAAGTTTTAAGTGTAGTTCTTTATTCAACTACCTACTCTGAATGGGTCCACTGTGTTAATCACTAGGAATTTTATGGGGGTATAGCTCCTATATTTAAAAGCTGGGTCTTTTTAAGGGCAAGGATGCCTATGAAAAGCGAAAAGGCATGTCAAACAGAACAGCAGATGTGAGCCTGAGCCTGCATGATCTAACTCAGTGTTCACTTGGCTCTGATCTCCATAAATCCTCCCTAAAATAGACATGATGATTTTATCATGATCCTTGTCCAGCTACTATTCAGCTTAGAGCTGCTTATAAAAAGTGTATAGCATAAATATTGTGATTTATTCCTTATCCTTTCCACAGCCTCAGCTGCCTGTTTGACCTATGTTACCATTCAGATAATAGAAGGTGTTTCTATGAAATACTCCAATCAGATTCCCAATATCATGAAAAGAGGACACATTTTTGAAAGTCAAGATAGTTTCTTTGTGTAGGAAAGAAGTCTTCTGAAGTTATTTTCACATCTTAATTAATTAAAAACAGATTTTATGGCTAATGTGATTTATTCATCTGTTGATACTATAGAGTCATCACTCAGTATCAATAGGGGGCTCGAGGACCCCACACAATACCAGAGTCCATGGATGCTCAAATCCCTCAGATAACATGACATAATATTTGCACATAACTATGCTATTCTTCCAGCGTATCTTAAATCTTCTCTACATTATTTATAAACGTACAATATAAATGTTATGTAAATAGTTATACCATCTTGCTTGAGGAATAATGGTAAGAAAAAAAGAGGCTGTACATATTTAGTGCAGATGCAGTTTTTTCCAGAATACATTCTGTCTATAATTGGTTGAATCCCCAGACAGAGTACCCACAGATACAGAGAACCAACTGTATTATGAACTTGGAAATTATGGACTTTAGGAAAAACAAAGATTAAGAAAATATAACTCCATTAATACTTCCAGACTTTTGGTTAAAGATAATTTCCCCTGTGTCTTCCAGCAAAATTATGTTTGTTTTACAAATTGGGAGCACATCCCAGACAGACAGCTGCAATAGTGACCTGAATGGCCCCCACGCGGTGGACAAGGCAGTGCTGCTGCAGTACAGTGTCAACAACGGTATCACTTGGCATGTCATCGCCCAGCACCAGCCAAAGGACTTCACACAAGCTCAGAGAGTGTCTTACAATGTCCCCCTGTAAGTGGCCTAAATGGAAATGCCTGGTCTCATGCCAGAGCCTGGGAATCGCAGAATTTGAAGTGGAAGTTGGGTGAAGTGACTGGACCAACACCACAAAACTAGGCAGTGGCAGAGCCAAGACTAACTAGATCTCCAAAGTTCTGTTACTGTTTTCTGTTAAGACAAGAAGCAAATGTTGAAGCAAGAAAAAAGAGCAAAAAGAAGTGAACGGAGAATAACAACTTAATGCAAAGGCCTTTTGGCCTATTTCTCTTATTTATTATGTCTAGTCTTTTAGAAAACAATGGTTTTGGTTTTCTGATTGGAATGCTAATTTGAAATTTTATAGCCTAGGCAGCCCTGTCAAGTTTGCTCAGCATTGTTTGCCCAGCTTCTAGCACAGTGCCTATCACACTTTCGTTGATCAAATGTGTTGCTCTCCAGGTTCTGCTGGAAAAAGGGAGAGAGATGGAAAAGTATTACAAACCCTTGAAAGGCCAATAAGATTAAATACTGCTTAGAAGAGTGCTATGACCTAAGCAATTCTGAATTCTATGCCCCAAGTTTTGTTGATGTAGGTTAGCCTGTTACAGTATCTGAAGTCTGCAAATCACATGCCAGAAAGTTCTGCCTCCTAGCTTTAACCTCTTTGTCCTTCTGTATGTGACCCAGGGAGGCACGGATGAAAGGAGTTTTATTGCGCTGGTGGCAACCACGCCACAATGGAACAGGTCATGATCAGTGGGCTTTGGACCATGTGGAGGTCGTCCTGTGAGTATCTGATACATAGAATCCTGTGTCCATTTCAGAAAGGTTTGAGATTTAATTGGCATGCTCAGTAAGAACTGAGGAGAAGGTCTTCAAGGGACCACTTTGGCTTATATTCTCCAGCACCTACAAACTATAGTTCAAGTGAACCGTGAAATAACAAAGCCCTGAGTGTAATTTAATAGACCTTAGAAAACGTCAATAAAAACATTTATTTAAGGAATGACTGTAATGGTTAAAATGGATAAAAACAAAAATTTCCAGGCATATGGGAAACAATATTTTATGCCAGCTCTGAGTTGCCTTACAAAATAGGATAACATCCTAAAAGAGAAAGGCTCTTGACTAGTTGGTACAGAGTGCTAACAGTGAATGTGTCCAATTACAAACACCTGCCTTAGCCACAGATGCCTGAGGTATTGTTGCACCTAGAAAAATCTGTGGTTTCACATTCCTCTTATCAATCCCAGCACCTACAAGTTAAGGGCATCCCCCTTGGTTTTTCCTATGTAAAAGGGCTGTCACCACTCTCACTTGGCCGGGTTGACTGTTCCCTTGCAGAGAGATGACTTGCTTTTTCTCTAACAATCTAGTTCCTGTAGAACTGGAATGCTTATGTCTCGACGGGTTCGAACTGATGGCTCCAAGTGGTTGGCAAGGAGAGGCGAATCTTCTCGGTAGATAGGTTCAAATGTTCATTCTGTTTACCGATTACAAAATGAAATCAGTCTCTTGGCTGATTTCAGTCATTCTGAAAGCAAATTTAAATGATTAATTGGTAGGAAAACTACCAGATTTGTTTTCTTTCATAGCCATGAGCTGAATTTTCCAGTCTTGAGCTAGCCCTTGTCTTAGTTGTCACTGAGGCACCTGCTTGCATGGCATCCATATCAACCCCCAAATCCAAGAGCAACCTGGTCCCCACACAAGCCCCCACTGTGCGCTCTGCTGCTTTTGGACCACTTGCTGGGCTCTGCCTCCACAAGACAAAGTCATAGTTTAAAGTAACAGTCCAGACTTTTGAATCTTAAATATGAGGCTGATGTTTTACTTAGCTATCAATTTCCTCAGGCTGTATTATTCCAGGAGAATTGAATAACTTGAGCTCTAAAATTCAATGTGTGTGTGTGTGTGTGGTAAGGCCAGAGACAGATGTCCAAATAGACCAAAATTCAACCCTAGAGCAATTTTCCCCTGACTTCTCTCCTTCCTAGGCAGTGATTCTCAATATGATTCAAGATCAGAATCACTGGAGAAGCTTTTGAAAACAACCAATGTCCTAATGCCCAGACCCATCCCTGTGGATGACTTATATTGCTCTGCAGTGGGAACTGAGCATCACTTTTAAAAGCACCTCAGGTGATTCTATGGTTGAGACTCAAATTAAAGTCAGTAACCATTTCTTCCTTTTCAAGTCTTTTACCAAGACAGTTTGCATTAATGAGGCTTCCTGCACCTGACAAAGCTTACCGGCTCCTATGATAACTTAAAAACTTGTCATTCCCCAAAAGAAGGCAGGATGTTAATTCTGCCCTTGATAGACATAAGAATTCTCAATATATCATACATTTGAGTAGCTATCTCTCCTCCCACCCTGACAAGCCATTGAAGTTATCTATTTTGAATTTCAGAAACATATCATCACCAATAATTTCCTCCCTTGGACTAAAATTAAAGAACAGGTAGAGCCAGAGGCACAAATATCCTGTCTTGGTATAAAGGAACTTCCTCTCAGTTCAGAAATGGAACTCTGTTCTCTGTTCCCTGTTGACCTGCTGCTTCAGAGGCCCTTGGAGCCCCAACAGGAAGCCTTATAACATTACCCCCAGGGGCACCTCTGGAACCCTGGTGTTGGTATTAATTTCCCTAAGCAAGTACCATCATCAGACACAATTACATAAGTGAGGTTCAGATTACATGAAATACCAGCAACCTGTTGTTTCTGATATCTCTGAAGCTGTAATCTGTATTGTAATGCTTCATTTTTACTCAGTCTCCAGAATTTTAATACTTTGAAGAATTTATCACTTACCAGGCACCTGTCTGCTCTTACCCTGTATAATTATCTCAAACTTCTATGGCACTAAAACATTCCAAGTGAGAAGAGAACATCACACAATGCATGGTGTTGCAGTTTATTTTATTCCAAGTCTTCTTCAGTGAATCATTTACATATTAATGTTATACATATTGTATTGCAATATACTTTTATGTACACATAGTATACATATAATTTTAAAAACAAATGATATTTCTTCAGTGATATTTCAAAAAATTGTGAAAATTATAGGGGTTGTCTTATTTCCTTCTTTTTGAAAAGATAAAATACCTTAAGTTGCATTTTAAAAACACAATCCTGTTTGGAGTCATGGCTCAAGCACAAGGCCTTGAGTTGAAACCCACACTGCCAAGAGAAAGGAAAAAAAGTTAACACAGGAGTTATATTTTCAGAACTATGTTTTTGATGTTTTTTCTCTGTTCTTAGGATTTAACATTTTATGCCACTGTGCCCTTTCAAAGAACTTCTTTTTGTAAGAATCACAACATTTTAAGGCATTCATCAGTGTGCACTTGGTAGCTCTACAGCAAAATTCACTCATTTGATGAGCATATAACAAATTAGTTATAGGGAATTCATAAAAAATAAAATATACTAATTTTCCACTAATTTTCCAGTGTGTTCCAACCATATGAGACACAAGGAAACTAGCTAAGTCTCATGTCAGATTCACGAGTATTGCACATTTTAACTTTGCTACAGAAGATGTGTGTTTAATGGGAAGTAGAATACTCCCATAAAGCCATATTAATTGAAAAATATTTTTTATTTAGCTGAACTTCTGTAGTAAAACATTTAGCTCTGCGAGCAAATGCTTGCTTCTCCAGAGTGGAGGGAGGGAATAACCTTGAGAGATGAAGGCCCTACCTAACTGAACACAGCAGGCAGGACTACTAATATGTTTTTGCAACTAATGGTTGGGGCATACATTTCACTCAAAAATCTTTAGAATGTACTTTTTTTTTCCAAATGAAGATTGGCCTTAATCTAGCTTTATTATTACAGTTTCGCTTTTGTGCATGTGCACCAAGGACACATGCTAAAAACCCCTAGGAAAAAATTGTGGTCATGCATGGTATCTTACGTTGATCGTAACGTCAGTACTGCCCATGTTAACAAAGAAGACATATGAATTTGATGAGAACACATTCAGCACTTTGAAAAATATTTCAAAGTTTAGGAGTGCATCCTAAATGAACAAGACACATCATATATTTTTAATTTAATGGTTTAATTCTAAAAAACTACATGTGGAAAGATTTGAGCCTCATAAATATGGATATATAGAATGACAGTCTCCATACCATAAAGATAAAAGCCACCCTTTTAACATTAAGGGACAAGCAAAGTCCCTTGTGCCTTATGTTTGTTTGAGAGTGTAATCTTCCCACACTCATGGTGTTTTCCAATAAAACCTGCACATGAAAAGCACTTCATGAGAATTAGCCCTGCTAATCTGCCATAGCACAGATGAACTGAATTGACAGGTTCAGAATGAATTTCTTCCAGCCTCACTAGCTTACAAAAAGTCCTCTTTCTGTAAAGTCTAAATGATGTAGCATAACACAATCATTGACAACCAAGTGTCAGAAACCTAATTTCTGTGAATTCACTTGCTAGTGTAGAATATTGCTTTTCAGTAAATGTTTGTGAATACATTTGGGCAGATCCCTTACAAGATCCATGCTGGTGGGGTTCTTCTTAGGATAAAAGAGAATTTGTTTTGTTAACCTTTTTCATTGGGCATTCATACTTCTATCCTAAGAATCTCCCTCACCCAACTATGCATTTCATTCACACATCACATTTCCTGTGTATGTGTCTAAATCACAACCCGTCATGTGTATAATGAAGTGGGCTGATTTTTGCATGTGTACCTTGAAAGCGAATCACTCAGTAAAAAGTTAGCTTTTGTGAATTGATTTAATAAAAAGTGAATTATTACCACATTTTCTGAGAATTGAAAACCAATATATTGCTAACTGTGGCCTTACACACATTTATCAGATTTTAATATGAGCTCCATCATGATCATCCCGTCATGCTATTCACCATCAAGATACTGTCACGTTTTTGGCACAAATGATTTATGGAGATGAGCATATTACATTTGTTGCAAAGCATATTTATCCTTTATTAAATTTGACTGTTATTTGATGTAGAGAATGTCTGCATTTTTAAAAGCCCATATTTTAATATAATCAGGAATTAGCAGCTCCTAAAATGTAAATAATTGAAATATCAGCTAAAATTAATAGTAGTTATTAGACTATTGATATTTATACTTTTGTGCAACATTTATGCCAAATGTAGTACTATAGCTACATGTACCTTGACATATGGTTATGAGCAAATACTGCATGTTGCATTACATTAAAAAATTAAACATATGTATATATTGGATATAGAAGAATAAGAAATAACTTGTTTAATTTTTATTTTCAAAAGAGATGAAAAATCCTATATTGCGTCTAAACCTGATCAGACTTTTATGACTAATCACAGTGCTGCATGCATTGAAAGGCATTTTTTAACTTGTATTATATTTCATTATTTGCTGTCATTGGTTTTCTACTAGAGTAAGGTAAGTCCTCTTTACTAAATTTGGGAACTGTTTGCTATTAGTTTGATCAGTGTTTCCAAAGTTCACTGAGAAGTTTTGTAGAAGACTTTTGCAACTGAAAAGAATTTTTTTCTGTGAAACAGTCATAAATGATATTGGAATGCACTGGAACATTTGAAAACTACATCCATGTGAAGTCAGAGATAGCCAAATTGAGAGCAGTGCTAGACCAGATCAGACCAGGGTGCTAATAGGCATTCCTTCTCTGGGAAGCAGATTTGACTTAGCTTTGCCTCTGTGCCTGGCTCTATATTAGGTACCCTTGACATGCTTACATTTTGTAAGTTTGTTATGAGGAAAATGAAAATAGCAATGCATGCAAAAGATCTAGGGGCCTTGATTAAATGTAATGTCTTTCAAAAGCCTACTGGACTGGAGATATGCATGCTGTGCCTTTACTTATCAATTCTATTCTAAGTTAATAACTAATTGGTAAAGGGGAGTAGATTTATTCATAATATTTGTGAGTTCTAGAGCCTGTCCTTTGGTAAGGTTGACCACCTTTGATAGATACTTACATTTGTCTTCTGAGATACTTTAAAAATTTAGGAAAATAAAATGGTTATCATTTATTGAACATCTGCATAGGGTGCTATAAGATTTCATTTAATCCTTTTAACTCCCTGAGGTGAATGTAGTCAGAATTATTCTTTATTTAGCAGAGAAGAGAAACAAGAAATTTTCAGTATGTGTGAGACATTTGTTCCTTTGCTTATTTCTTTGTAACCTTTCTGAAAATGCACAGTCTTAAAAATCAGATGTACAACTGATTGATGTACAACTGTTTCAGGGAGTTTTGTGGTTAGTTTGAATGACAGCGCCCATCTTACAGTCACCAATATTTTTCTGAAAGATATAGTTAATTGCCCACTGGATTCTTATTTTTGCATTCACATGAATCATCATTTGTTATACTATATATTTTGATGAAAAGTAATTACTGATCAGTTAAAATGCCTGAATTTCTATGAGCTCAAATTCCTCCAATACTCCATCTCTTCCATCTCCTTTAGAATCCATTTTTAACTCAAAAGAGCATAGAGTCACTTGTTTGTCAAAGACCTTGCAATAACCAAATTTCCTAAGCAAAAACAGGAACACATTTTCTAATTCCATATTACATACCAAGTTCTTAGACTCCCTTGGTGATAATGGAAATTTAAATCAGTATTTCCAAGAAGCCACTGTTGTTCTTTTTCATTTCTTTCCAAAACTTACTCATGATGGGAGAACTTTTAAGTGAATCTAGTTCTGTTCCCCACCAAAGCAAACTGACATGTCAAGTCATGGCATGGGATGAGTATTATTGCTGGTTTTGAACTTATAATAAAATTACTTCTCCCTGTAATTGCAATGAAAAAGTAAGTCTTAAGAACTCCATTGAACCTATTGTTATTTATTAGGTTATGTGTAGGTATACACCTACATGTATCAAAAATAGGCCCATAAATATGCTTTCCCAATTAAACATTAAGTCCTCTAATAATCTTATAAACTAGACATTTTAGGAAGCACAATAACTGTTTAATAACCATGTCAGTTTATTAAGTGGTGCTAGAGTTAGACATAGCTCCCCATGGTACTTGATTTTAAAAAGGCTTACGAACTAGAAAAATCCACCTTATTAGATTCCAACCTAACTGACTCCAGTGATATTATTTCTCACATAGCCAAACTGCTGGTTAGTTTCAAGGATAATTGACAAGTGTGTCCATTTTTAATATGACTACACAAATCTGGGCACTTGAAGCAAACACATTTCCATGGACATATCAACATTCTCCAGAATCCAAACATATGGTGGTCACTTATAAACTTAGTCAGAATCAGAGTATCCAGTGAATCAAAATGTCCCCCAAATTAGTCATAAATGTCCACTGTGAGCTGATTTGCTGGGTACTAAAAATCTGCAACCTGCTAAATTCATTTTCTGACACATGAAGTTGGAAAGTTTAAATCATTTCCATAATAAGCAAAAAACGTCAGGGAGACGTTGCTTTAAAGCTATTCGACATGCACATCAAGCTTTGTTAAAATTAAGTGTTCCCTCGTTCCCGTGTATAATGGTGGCTCATATTAGTCTAGGCTGCATTGAGGTAGCTAAATATCTTGAGTTTCTGAGTTTATCTTTTCAGTGTAAAATATTTTAACTATTTTAAATTGTCTTAGAGTACTTTATATCTTTTAACGTGTTTTCAACAGAATAATTTCATTGCTTTAACTTTGCAGTTATTCCTTATAGTTAAAGAGTAATGATTTACAGCAGGAGTCCAATCAGTAAGTCAACAAAGTTCAATAAACGTGCCTTGACCACCCATGGGTCAAGCAGGAGGCTCAGTGCTGTGGGGTGGGCATGGGAGGCACGGGGTGATAGGCCCCCATGCCAACAGAAGTTTAGATATGGGGAGCCAAGATGTATACACAATTAAACTTCATTCAAAGCAGGAAACAAGCACTCTGAGAGTTCAAATGGGAGGGGAATCACTTTTGGAGAGGAAAAAGCACTAAAAAATGTAATGAATGAAATAGAATTTAGGAAGTGATACTGGAAGTTGGCTAATGAGGCAGGAAAATGAGGCAGGCAGAAAGACTGAATAATAGAGCAGTCTGTGTAGGAGTTAGTGGTAGAAAGGATCTGGAAAACAGAACAGGATTAAACAGAAAGAGGATATGATACGACATATCTGCTTAAGTTGGCTGAAATGTTGCTCCACAGACAAGAGAGTCATGAAAGGTTTTTGAGCAAGGTGAAGCAAGCTTTTGAAGAAGAGTTTACAGAAACTGGTGTGCAAAATAAATTATTTAAATATGTGTAAGACACATATGTTGTGTACATATTTTACATGTGTATCTTAAACACTGATCTTAAGTATAAATTACACTTTCTTAATATTTCATGGTTTCTTTTCAGTCTTCCACAAGAGAAGAGAATTGAGATGAGAAGGCTGGCTTAGGGGGCCATTATAATAGCTCAGGGAGAGGACTGTAAGGTGACCTGGGATGCTGGCAGGAAGACAGGAAAGGCGGACCCAAGATTTTGTGAATAAACAAGTAATAGGAAAATTTCTCCTATTCAGTACATTAGATCATTATCCTTTTGGGGAACACGACAGTATGACATTACATAAGAAGCAGTTAGTACTTAATAACAGCTAATAAATTGGGTGCATTTATTTCATCCTTCCACGATGACATTGAAACTGACCAACTAAGTGATGTGCTTAATATTGTCACATGGAAGTGGAGGGTGGGTGGTAGACTAGCTAAAGACAAAACCTAACTCTTTTGTCATTTTCTCTAAAATGTCTTGAGAGTGTATTTTTGTTTCGATTTTATAGTTTCTGGCACTTTGATAATATAGAAATCCAAGGTGGGACGTTATTTCCACTTTATTTTATAACATATGTCAATTTCCTGTCTATATTTTTATGAGTTTTAGTGCAGATGCTATTGCTTTTGAATTATAAAGATCTAATGAAATTAAATTTATGTATTTTCCTTTGAGACATTTTATTTTGTTTTCTCTTCCAATGATTAAACTTCACTATAAAATTCTCTTGTTTTAAAGTTTTCCATATTCACCAATTTTCTACATTTTATTCCTCAGTATAATACCTAGTGTAATATGCTAGGTAAAACTACATCATTTATACCTTGTTAGTATATTGATAACTAATAACTCAGAAGATTATATTCCTCAGTGAAAAATTATCCTTTTCCTTACTTTACCCTGACTCAAGTTCATGTCATATCAACCTTTGTGGTGGGATCAATTACAGAAGAAGGACTCAGGGACCATGTATTTGAGACACTCAGTGAATTTGGAAAATACTGGTAGGCTTATATTCATAAATCACGAATGGATGCCACTTATACATATGTTGTTACTCAGTTCAGTATGCATCTGACTCTTTTCAGTGATGTTATAGTTCATGAGCATTTTTAGCATACATTAACAGTACAAGAGGTTTCTATTGTGACAATTCCATACTACACTGTACATATCTATGGAATTATAGATCGTGGGCCTTTAAAAACATACTTGCCATGTCAAAATGTTAGAAGCTGTGCAATTTCATACAGATTCCTGATATCCACTGTCAGTAATTTAATCAGCTACACATGCAGCATCTATGCGTGATTGTGTGTATGTACATATGTGGGGGACGTGTACACATGCACATGATTTTGCATTCAATTACACCTTCTTAGTATTTTTTGACCACTTTAGTGGAGAGTCTCTTGAAGCCATGTATATAGAATATGAACCCCAGTTGCAAAGACAATGGAATCCAACCTTCTAAGAAAGCTTACTTCCTCATTTTGTGCCTGTGACTTTATGAACTAGCAAAGTCAAGTTAATTCAGCTAACAAGTTTGTGTGTTTTCTTTGTTTTTGCTTCTAAAGCTTGAAATGAAAATGTTTACTGGAGTAACCAAATTATTTTTGTTGCTTATTAAATATGCATGTCAAAGAAGTAATGAGTATAGTGCATACTTCCTCTAAAATGGAGTTTATCCAAGTAAATGTTTTCAGGAAGAATTCAAGACTAAAATTTAAAATCCAAATATTTTTAATCTGCTTTTGCTATAAAGCAAGAGAATTTACCTTTTTCCTGGTTCTGAAAAGAAAGGGCAAAGGGCAGTTAGTATAGAAGCTAGTCTTCAGCTACTCTGTTCCATGGATGCTAATGTCAGCACTGACATGAATGCTGAAAACTGTCCAGTACCAGAGAACTTAGAACCTTAGAATGGATCGCATTCAATGATGGGACTTACATGCTCTTTCTCCTTTCCCTCTCTGCCTGTATCCTCTTTTTTATTTTTAACAGCACTCGCAAACAAAATTACATGATGAATTTTTCACGGCAACATGGGCTCAGGCACTTCTACAACAGAAGACGAAGGTCACTCAGGCGATACCCATGAGGAATCAAAGTTTATTTTTCCTTCCAACATGTGATGTGTTGCTCTGCATTCTTTCAAACCTCTCACCACATATGATATCAGGAAATATCTGCGAAGGACTTGGTGGTTAACAGAAAGCCCTTCTAAAGACCAAGTGTATACCCACTTTTCCACACTGTGAACTAATGACAAGTGTTATTTGCTCATAAGTAAATGTCTTCATGTTGACGTGTCCGTGAAAATTGTGATCTGTTGTAATATCAGTTACAGTGGCAGTGTTAAGAATAAGAAATAGTTTAACAGGAAAAAAAGTTTAAGCACAAAATTTTAAGAGATTTTATGTTTAAAATGACATTTGGCACAATATTTAACATTCTTAGTCACAAAGCTATTTAAGTGAACTGCATTTCAGCTTTGTGTCATGTTTTATATGATTAAATTATCATTGTCCTTTATTCTCTACAACATAACACATTGAAATTGTATTTACTCATTATGTTGCAATATTTTGCTGCTGAATTTTGATCTACTTATATTCTGCAGAAAGTTAATTGAAATACTATTCAAGAAGATAGTTGTAAAGATATTGTATCTCCTTTAATATGCTCCTTAAAATGTATGTTGATTTAGCGTTGTTTTTGTGGATAAGAAAAAAATGCTTGATCTTGAAATATTTTCTACTTAAAAGATTGTGGATGAAGACCCTATTTCCCTCCCACAGAGAAATTCCCATTACCTTGTCTAAAAAAAGTTCTGTGGCTGATTTACTAACAGTAACTGCCATTTTGTGTCTGTGGTAACAAAGTGATTTGTAAAACAGTGGCTGTTTCTTCATTGTGTTCTCCTCACGAGTTGTTTCCCGGGGTCATACTCGGACCTTCTGATGAAGCTGAACCAACACCAGCAAAGGTACAATGGCACTGTACCCCTGAACTCTGTGAGCATAACCGAAGGTTGCACTCTAGGGTGAACCAAGCTAAAACCCCATGCTTAAATAAAAATTATGTCCAAGAGCCATTCAAAGTTCATTTGTCTTCATTCATTTGTAATTGATTTTTATGTATGATCTGTAAATCTGGTCAGGTTCAGAAAAGAAGACTCAAATACACATACTGCTTATTTGTTTTATCATTAGTAATAAAGTTAGGAACCACACTTTCAACTTAACTATTTTTTTCTCTATTCAGCTTTTTCTAAATATCACTCTGTAATTATAGTAAGAAAAGCCAATAGAGACAAGTGTTGTGGCTCATAGCTATAATTCCATCTACTCTGAAGGTGGAGATTGGGAGGATTGTGATTTGAGGCTAGCTTGGGCAAAAAGTCAGTGAGACTCCATCTCAACAAGAAAAGCTGAGGGTGGTGGTACATGTCTATAATCCCAACTGCACAGAAGGGATAAATAGAAGGATCATATCCAGCCTAAGGCCAGCTGCAGGCAGAAATGCGAGCCTCTATTTGAAAAATACTTAAGCAGAAAAGGAGCTGGGGACATGGCTAAAGTGGTAGAGCACCTGCCCAGCACAGGTGAAAGCCTGAGTTCAAACCCCAGGATTGCCAATAGAAAAAAAAGAAAAGGAAAGCCAATCAAGAATCTTGAAAATGACTCGGCTCCCAAGAATATTGTTAACTGCATAACAACAATGCCTGGCTCATGAGAAGCCTTCATCCATTCATTCAGCGTTGTGTAAGTGCTGAGGATAAAATGGGGATCCATTTTCCCTGCTTGCTTTTAACATAGAAAAAAATTAAAAGTACATTGATACCATTGAAGTTTTTATTTTTAAGAGGATTAAGAAATCTGGAAACCAATTTTAAGTCTAAAAGTTTCAGCAACAGTAAACTTTCTCTACACTTTGAACATCACTGGTGTTGAGCTAAACACACGTACAGTGAATTCACTAGTAATCAGTCTTTTGAAGGAAGCACATGCCAGCCAATGTCTCTCAGTGTTTCCCTTATAATACTTGTCTTTTATGTCATGTATAAATAATCCTTCTTTCCCCTGACCCCATTAGCCATTCTGTTTTAAAAGCTTTAAAGTTCTACTTCTCTCCTTTTTGTCTTTATCTGGAAGTTTTGTGTCATGGTATGTCCAGGGATCTGGTTTGTTTTTTTTTTTTTTCATTTGAATAATAAATTCTTTTAATTCCATCCTTCCCCCACTCCTGACAAATAAAGCTATTATGACTTCATGTTTTCATCTATCTTGAGTAATTATGAGTGGACTAGGTAAGTCATATACTACTTGTATATTTAGCTGTTTAAGACATAGCCAAACTTTTCCAAAGTAGTCTGTATGACTTGACATTCTCATTAGCAGTGTGAGAGAGTTCTAGTCCTTCCACGTCCTTGCCAGTGGCTGGTCCTGGGAAATCCTGTTATCAACTCCAGCAGGTGCACAGTGCAATCTCAACGTGGTTCTAGTTTGTATTTCCCACGTGCCGAATGATGTCAAGCATAATTTCTCATGCTTATTTCCCTCCTTGTGTCTTCTCTGGTGAAGTGTCTTTTCAAATCTTTTGCTCACTTTGTTGTTGTTGTTCGTTGGGTTTTTTCTTACGATTTTTGAGAGTTTGTTATACATCTGGATACAAGTCCTTTATAAGATACATACTTTGCAGATATTTTTTCTCATTCTGTGACTAATAGTTTACTTAATGTTTTACAAATTGAAAATGGTTTTAATTTTGACAACATTTAAATTTGCTTTATGAAAGAAATTTTATGCATTTTTGGTATCACAGTTAAGATATCTCTGACAAATTCAAAGGTCACAAAGGCTGTCACCTATGCTTTCTTCTAGAAGTTTCACATTTTTAGGTTTTCCATTTAGGTCTGCAGTCCATTTGGAGCGGGTGTGTGTATATGATGTAAGCTATTGATGGAATTTCATTTTCTTTTTGGCACATGGATAGCCAGTTGTTCCAGTTCCATTTGTTGGAATTGTCATTAGTTGCCTTTGTATTTTTGACAAAAAAGGAGTTGCCTGTTGATGACTGCATCTGTTTCATCGCTCTGTCTGTCCTGATGCCAGGACCACATTGTTTTGATTGCTAGCTTTCAATGAGTTTTGAGAGAAAATAGTGTTTTCAGTTTCTCGCTCTCTCTCTCTCCCTCCCTCCCTCTTTAGTGGGTTAGTGAGTCTGGGGTTTGAGCTCAGGGCTTCACACTTGCAGAGCAGGTGCTCTACCCCCTGAGCCTTCTTCAATGGATCCTCCCAATCTCAGCCTTCCAAGTAATTGAGATTGCAGGCATGAGGCACAGTTTTCTTCTCTTTCAAAATCGTTTGGCTATTCTTGCTCCTTTGCATTTCCCTATGAATTTTGGTATCAGTTTTTCAACTTCTATAGAAATACCTGTGGGAATTTTGACTGAGATTTAGGGAGAGTTGACATCTTAACAATAGTGAGACTTCCAACTTGTGATCATGCTATCCTTTTCCACTTATATGTTTCCTGCAAATTTTATGACTGCTTTTCTATTCCTGTGAAGAACATCATTGGCATTTTGTTGGGTTAGATTGAATCTGTAGATCACTTCGGGTTATGTGGACATTTTCATAATTTTAATTCTTCCCATCCATAAACATGGACTGTCTTTCCACTTTTTGTGTGTTCTCTTTTTTCATATAGAGATTTTTCACTTCTTTGGTTAACCTTATTCCTGAATATTTTCTTGTAGCTATTATAAATGGAATTGCTTTTTAATTTCTTTTTCAGCTAGCTCATTATTGGGATATAGAAATACTACTGATTCTTATGAATTCATTTATCAGTTCTAATTTTTTTTTATGGAGTCTTTCAGTTTTTCTGTATATAAGGTCATGTCGTCTGAAAACAGGGACAAATTTCCTACCTCCCTTCCCATTTGGATGCACTTTGTTTCTTTCTGTTGTCTAATTGCTCTGGCTAAGACACCCAGATCTATACTGAGAAGAGCAGTGAAAGTGGACATCCTTGTCTCGTTCCTGATCTGAGTGGAAATGCTTAGGAAAATACTGTAGAGTCTACACAAACCTTTACAGACAGCAGTGTACTTGTCTAGAAGTTGTGTGGCTCAGTTCCTTCTAGGTAAGTACCGCAGATAAATTCTCACATCTGTAACCGAGGAGATGTGTACAATAATGTTCACAGCAGCATTTTAGTTTTGGCAGTACTAGGCAGGCACTCTGCACTTGAGCCATACTCCCAGCCCTTTTTGTTTTAGTTTATTTTTTAGATGTGGGTCTCGTAATTCTGCCCATGGCCACAGTCTTCCCAACTCTGTCTCCTGCATAGCTTGGATTACAGGTGTGCACCAACACACCTGGCCCTCGTGGCAACATTTTTACTCATCACAAATAATCAGTGTACATCAACGAGAGAATGGATGCATTGTTGTTTATTTGTATGATGAAGAACAATATGGCATGAAGAGTATGTCTGCCAACAACAAAACAAGTGCAGAATTATAAATACAGCCCGATGCCACTTACAAGACTTTGAAACTTGCTAACAAATGCTATGTATTGCTTATGGATCCATGCATAGTCCGCATGTAAAAGCATGTGTGAGAATAAATACAAATTCACGTGATAGTGGAGGCAGGTGAATAAAATCAGAAAGGGTTATGTGAAAGACCTGAGCTCTACCTAAAATGTTTTATTTCTTTTAAAAATTCAAGTTAAAATAGTCAGAATATGTTAATGTTAGAATGAGTTGTGTACACAGAAACGTTTCATATTACTCTATCATGTAAATATTATAGCAAAACAAAAAGCAGTAGGTAGGATTTGTCAGGCAGATCCAGTGAGGATATCTATTCTAGGAACAGAGCAATATATGCAGAAGCGCCAAGTCAGGAACTAGTTTGGCTCCTTAGAGGAGCCACAGATCATTTGGATTTGAGGGGTTTACAATGAGCAGCCTGAAACTTACTGTCAAGAACTGTGAGCAAAGCCCAGTGTTGCTGAGGGAGTGGGAGATGGAAGTAATTACTCAGATTAACCAAAATCGGCTTTAACTAAGAGGCACTCACAGACATCTAGGGGAGTGTTTTAGCAGATGGCTTCCATTTGTCTGCTC